TTCAAAATTACCAGCAGAACATTGGTTTCATATTAACGGTAAAGAAAATCCCGCAGATATAGTATCTCGCCCTCTTACGCCAAAACGATTTTTAGAACAATCTTTGTGGTTTCACTCCCCGCAATGGACTTCTTTACCACTACCACATTGGCCAATTACGCCTTTCACGCCTTTTAAGACTTTTAACAATGACCGCGAACATTTAGAAGTAAAAACGACGACTTTAAAAGTGGAAGTAACCCACGCAATTCATACTTCTCACCCTCTCCAGAAGTTGATAGACAGTTTGTCAAGTTATACAAAATTATTACGCATCATAGTTTATATATTACGTTTTATAAAACAATTGAAATCCTGAGGAAAAATTACAGTGGCGGACATAGATTCAGCAGAGTTATACTTAATGCGCTTTATTCAATATAAACATTTTAGTGATGAAATATTTAATTTAAAAAGTAACAAACAATGCAGTAAGAAAATAATAAAACTCAATCCATTTATCGACTCTGAGGGCGTGCTTAGAGTTGGTGGTCGACTGACGCATTCACAACTTGACTACGGTCAAAAATATCCTATATTGTTACCTTCTAAGGAACGCTGTACTCAATTACTTGTTGATTTTTTCCATTTGAATAATTTACATACCGGTCCCGCGCTTTTGTTATCTCTCGTTAGACAAAAATTTTGGATCCTATCGACTAGAAATCTTATACGTCAAAGAGTACATGCATGCAATATTTGTTTTAAATTAAACCCAAAAAATACTTTTCCTCCTATGGGAGACCTCCCTTCTTGTAGGGTTTCAAAAGTAAAAGCTTTCGTACATACAGCTGTCGACTACGCAGGTCCTTTTTATGTTACTCATATTCGTCGGCGGGCAGTCAAGTCTCAAAAGGCTTATATATGTTTGTTTGTCTGTTTGACTACACAGGCACTTCACTTAGAGTTAGTTTCTGATTTAAGTACTGAATTATTTTTGGCTGCCTTTAAGCGTTTTATCTCAAGAAGAGGCCCCGTCGCAATGATTTACAGTGATGGCGGTACAAACTTCATCGGCGCTAAACGAAAATTAAACGAAATTTTACCTTAATACAGTCCAAATCACATCAAAATTATGTAAGTGAACAATTATTAAAAGATCGCGTTCAGTTCACACACAGTCCTCCTTATGGACCTCATTTTAATGGCCTTTGCGAAATTAACGTACGCTGTGTCAAAACGCATTTATCTAGGGTAATAGGAACGTAGATTCTTACATATGAGGAGCTTAACACTGTTCTCGTACAAATAGAAGGCTTACGCTCGCACCGCACGCATAAAAACTTCAGTCACCATAGCGCTGTGGTGAATTCGCTAGTTTTTTAAACTCAAGATTAATAGCAAAGTGTTGTGGGAAAAGACCAGTGACCGCCGTTCAAACTAAGATATCGAAGGACAATTCCAACTCCAGCTTCCAGGTACCTAACTTTTCCTACAAATAAAGTCTGCTATATTACAAACCATAAATACATTTCTTAACATATTTGTATACTCAGGTACACTATACTATTTGTATTTCCCTTAGTAAAATATTTCCTTCAGCAAACTGTAAATCTATAACTGTAGATCTTATTAAGAGAAAAGTTTGGCCAGAAAAAAATTTGAAACAAATATTTTAATGTTAATTTTCTTTGAAATGGGCTTTAAAAGTAATTAACAGTCTTACTTAAGGTGACTTTTGTATTAATATAATTCCAGTACAGTGCTTAGAGGAAAGGGTATGTTGCACCAAGTAAAGAGACACCAAGTGTTGAGTCCAAGTTAGTAATAACTCCGATAAACGCTTCTTGCACACAAAACACTCAAGTATTAAGCTCCAAGTTCGTTGAGTATACCCTCCTCCTAAATTGAAAAGTCCTCATCCTTAGGGCTCCTTAAGTACCCCTGTGATCTTCTAGTGCCCCTTGACGTTTTCAATTTGACCTTTTAGCCAATTAAAATTCACTTAATCTTCTCTTAGTTTACTTAATCACTTAAAGATCGTTTCTGTTAAGAGAACTAAAATGATAATATCTCACGCTAAATAACCCAAAGAGGCTGATAGAAATAGAGAGTCTAAATAAGGAAAAGTAACAGGTCTGTGAGTCTTCGTTTCTAAACTTTCATCAATATTTTAAAGATCTACCTCTAACTTACCTTAACAAAGCCCTTATAAATTATTTTAAGGTGAGATAAAACGTAAAAAAAAATTCTACCAGTCATATCAATGAAATATTGAATAATTGAAATTTCAGTTGACTTAAAATTAATGAATTCTATTAACAGAATCGTTTGACTTCAACAAACAGTCGGGCTAACATAATTGCCCAGTTTTCAGAGTTCTAAGCCCTTTCATTACTTGCCTCTAGGAATATTTCATTTTCACAGTAATAATTTACTTATATTCAGTAATGATTCTGGATTTTGACAACATTTTCAACTCAAAACGACTTACTTATTGAAAGAATAGTAATATTTCATAAATAAATATTTGGAAACTTACTACTTTATTTCCATCGAAGACATGAAACTTTTTTCATATCTATTAGTGTAGCGTCAATCAACATAAAGTTTTCCAAACAAAAACTACCCTTTGGCCTTTCACATAATAAATAATGAATTTAATACTTGTCATACTGAGTCTTGAAATTGAATATGTACTAATGTAGGTATTGTTAGTATATTCATAAACTGAAAGTAATTTAGGAGTTATGTATGATGGAAGGTGTCGAGTATAGATTGTTTTTGTCTATGTAAAATATGATTACTAAAGAATTACTCTATGCATATTATATTAAATTTGAATAAGCGAATAGAAATCAGACTTAATGCGATTCAGTGTAGCTAAGAAAAATGTTGTGTTGAATGTTATTTATTATTTAATAATTTAGTTTTAGGAATTTGGTTATATATATTCACGACAATGTTAATTGATCTTGAGATATTGTTTGTTGCTTTGTTAAGCTTACATAACATGTCATCACCACGGCATAGCAGTTTATCGATTGCAATTTAATCATGCGCTGTACTCGCCAGTTTATGTATTAGTATTTCAGGCTCATGCCGTTGATGTGTGGTAATAACAGATATCCTGATAGAGGCGGTTACACGACGCCACCTAGCCCATAACGGAATCCGTTAATTGAAATATTGCATGTGACGTTAGTGGTTGAATCCTATAGCGCTTCGACAAGACTTACGATTGTTTTCGAAATGAATGAAAATAACAGGATTTCACCTCGGCCAAGTAATTCCGAGTATGTAGCGTAAAAAAAAATTACTCGAATTTCAAAGGCTTATAGTGATAAAACATCGACCGGTTATAAATCAAGCCAATGTAAAAATATAAGGTGAAGTGTAAAACTTATAATTTTTCCATCATTAGATCCGAGTTTCCTATCATGGTACTCTTTGCATATCTCTTTTCCAACAAAAAAAAAATAATCGTCAATATCGCTTCATAAACGAGAAAGTTAAAAAATGATGCGCAGCTGTTATATAATATTTGGCTTACTCCCTCCATTCGTCAATTACACCACAGAAAGGCATACCAGCGGCAGTTATGGCCTAACCAAGAACTTAGCGATAGCGGGAACTTGCTTGTTACGGGAACTTATGGAGACTATACTTCTATTGTACACTGTTTTCCGCTAAAGTGCTATTATGAAATTGAAACGATGAACAGCAATAGAGAAATAAAAATAAAAATATTGAGGAAAATCAAAATTACCAATTCCAACACTAAGATCAAATTAGAATTAGAAGTTTCATTACACTAAATAATAAATTATTTTGCGAAAAAATATCAATAAATAATCTTAATTCAATATTCTCTTTAATACGAGAATGACGTGATGAATGTATTACAGACGAAATATGATTTTTATTTAAAATATTATCGGCGAATCAAACATAAAATAAGTGGTAAAACTGACGGGAACTTTTTTAAACATAAAAATCGATACCTTTATTAGCTGAGGTAAAAGGCAATTATAGGACTAATACATGAAAAAACTTATCGCGAAGTTTCTAATTGATATTTGACGAATCATGCTGTAATATACAAGTTACCTATTAAACCCCGACGATGTTAATATCAATACCCAATTAACATTTCAAGCAAGCCGTCTAATTAACCTTCGCAGTGAACAAATAATGTACATCTTCGATAGCAGATTATCTTGGGGAAATATCGATTCAAGTGATTTTCGTCCACCACATTATTAAACTACCTGTATTTTAATGAATAGAAAACGTTTTGTTTCCGAAACGATTCTACTTTTTGTTTGGATTTTTCGGATTAATTGCGTTTGTCATTGTTTTATAAAAGTGACAAGGAACATAAAACACCGGTCAAATGTGAGTCGGTCTCGCGTACGAACGGTTTTCCGTACCGTTATCTATAAAAACGGCAAAAATCATGTCTGAGGTATGGGAGCCCCACTTAAATATGTTTTTATTCTATCTTTTAGTATTTTTTGTTATAGCAGCAACAGATATACATAATCTGAGAAAATTTCAACTGTCTATCTATCACGGTACATGTACCGTCTGTCACCAGGCCGTATCTCATGAGATACGGTCTGGTAGACGGCCTTGACAGACGGACAGACAGACAGGCAGCGGAGCTTAGTAATAGGATCCTGTTTTACCCTTTAGGTACGGAACCCTAATAAGCTCAAAGTGTTACTAGCGTTTAAATTTAACACCAGATTGTTTTAATCGAATCAGAAATAATTCCTCGAGACGTTTGGTTATTTCAACGCTTCAACAAGGTAATATGTAAGATGTATAGTAAAATAATTAGTTTATCTCCAGAGGCTAAGTAAAGTCCAATTGGATCAGCAAAAGCGTCCTGCTGCGTTCGGGAAGATTCGATTTACATGAAAGCTAGAATCTAGTATAAAAGCATTGTCATTGTAATGGTCCAGCATTCTGAATCAAATTTGGATCGGGTTCGTTCGTCACTTGCTTACAACGCAATGGCTTTCAAATTAACAGTCTTCTCTGTTTTCTTCATAATCACTGCGATTGTCAGCATTTCCTTCGTTAAAACGGAACCCGCTATCGCCGTGAGCTTCGACCCGATGGAGATCTGCATCGAGAACTGCGCCCAGTGCAAGAAGATGCTTGGCTCTTGGTTCGATGGACCCTTGTGTGCCGAGTCATGTATACGTCACAGAGGTAGGCTTGTCCCCGATTGCGAAGATTACGCTTCCATAGCGCCCTTCCTCACAAAGATTTAGACCCATTACAAGTGAACGAAACGATTCAACGATATTATCTGTTTTTATTGCGAAACGAGCCAAAAAGTTATGATATGATATTTAGAGTCATCACAATAAACTATAAAGGAAAATTAAGTGTTTTAAAGTTTGTTTCAAATACCAGACCCCAAACAATTTCTTCCAAGAGAGCACAGGTGTCTAAGTTTGCTAGAGAAGTATATTAATCACATTTAAATCTAAATTTAATAACCAAAGAGGCACAAAAACACTTTCCGATGACTTGATTATACCTAACATCTGTCAAAAAGTTACAATATTAGAAAGTATTAATATTTTACGTAGAAATTGAGTCCGGAACATAATTGTTGCAGGTATCTTAGGAAAATTACATCGAATAAAAAAATATTGAATGCAAAATAAATAATATTATATAAAGGATAATTTAATTATAATTTATACTTACATCTCTATTTTTATAATAAGCCTTTTATCACTCCTACAACTGAGATGAATCTAATGACATCTTATATGTTGAAATCCGTAACAGAGAGCACCAATGAAATAGTGAATTTTAAGTGCTTAGTTATCACGTACGAATATTTTTCGAAAAAAAATATTGCGAAGATATGTGAAATTTGCCAATCCGCAATGTGGCGCTGGTGTACTATGCCCTAAAACTATATTTACGGAGAAGGCCTTTGCCCAGCAGATGGACTTGTATAGGGCTAAACAACTCGACTGCATTAACTTGTTACTTTACTTAAATTACTTTTAAGGGTTCCGTACCCAAAGGGTAAAACGGGACCCTATTACTAGGACTCCGCTGTCTCTCTGTCTGTCTGTCCGTCTGTCACCACGTTGTACCTCGTGATCCGTGATAGATAAGCAGTTGTCACAGATGGTTTATTTCTATACACAGATGGGTTATTATAAAAAAAATGTTTAACATTTTTTGCCGTTTCAGTAGATAATGGTACGGAACACTTTGTGCGCGAGTCCGAATAGCACTTGGGCTGTTTTTTTTTTAAATACAAACATTAATCCGAAAACCTTAATTAAACCAAATGACTTCAAAAACTCCCAGTCGAAAGACGGGTATTACTTTGATGAGATGTAATATTTCTTCATTAATTTCGACTTGTTGTGGGAACGTTGATGAGTCTACTTTCAGAAGAAAGTAATTTACGTCTAAAATGATAAATCCCAGAACCGCAGAAAAGAAGTAAAATATGTAAACTTAACACTGAAATTATCTACTTGGCGTCTTTGTAACCAGCCTTAACCAAATCAATCTTAGTTTTTTTTTATATGAAAGTTGCCAAGCGCACAGACGGTTCACCTAATGTTAAGTGAATACCGCCGCCCATGGACATCTGCTACACCCGAGGGTTCCAGATGCGTTGACAAACTTTTGAAAATTGGGCTCCGGCCACCTCACTCACCAGACGAAATGCGAAAGTATTATACTTCCACTTTACGCCGATCTTCTGTGAGGTCGTGTTACTTACTCGGACAAATTCCATTCGTGCAACAGCCGAGGCATCTGCTGCGACAGAACTTATCCCGGCAGAACAGCCAATTTTTTTTTATTAAAATGCGCGGTGTTTATGCGAAACCACGTAAAATACATCATAATCACAGTATGCATATCTATAATATAACTGACATGTTCTTCAGTGCCCACCTACCTTCTCACGTAAAAAAGACCAATAAAGTTCTCTTTCAAAAAGGTTCCCATAATGCCTAAACAAGAATAGTTTTGTAATATAGTAAGTCATGGGACTTAACAAGAGTTTAAGCCATCTTTACGCTTAACCAAAGGCCCAAATAAAATCCCACCTAATGGAAATTTCTAAAGACATATACAAAACAAAAAAGTCATAAAATAAACAATGACATTGATGGAAGCAATTAAAATTGTTATCTAATTATGCATAAAATAATTAAATATTTTGATCTCTATTCAAATATTATTTCGGTCCAATTTGAATCGTAGAACGATTGGCTTTATAAATGTACTCTGACGATTGATAGGAATAGCAATAATGTGAAATATAAAATCCTGTGTCCTTTGCAACTGCTGATTTGGGATGAATATCCACTTTCCGTTTTCTTATCAGTATTATTCCCAAAGCGATAGTTACGGACAGCCGAGGACCGCCTTGTTCGGAAGAAATGCTCTAACACCTTTTAATACAAGAGCAAGAATTTAATGACCTAGTTTTTAAGGCCTTATTTAAAATGAAGCATATTCATAACAATACATAACTTAGCTTCATAGCACAATTTCGTCAATGTATTTTCAATAGAATGAACAGTAAACCCATTGAGGGACAACGTTACTATAAAACGCTGAAATGGAACAAAAACATAACTAATTGTAGTATTCGTTACTAATTATAGGCGGGTATTCTCCAGCACTTTGGGACTTTGGCACACTGGGAGCGCACGTACGAACATTTGTTTCTGCTTTCACAAATTTGTATAACAACATAATTATGAAAAAGTACCTTAAACAAAATTAAACAACTTACTTATAGAGGCCTTTACATCTGTGACAGATTAATTATGTAGTGCGTGATTAAGAACACTTTCTTTGGTGACTAAACAGTTCAATTCTGGACCGACAAGACGCACTGCGACGAAAGCAGATTTAAACTGCGGCAGATGGACAAGGTACCGCACATAATTACCAGTGCTTAGTGCACTGGTAATAGGTGCGGAAATACCGCTGGCGAAAACTGATTATCAAGGTGGTAGCGACGGTATTTTTAAAAATTTTAACGGTGGCCCTCTTGATACTGCCCAAATCCTCGTATACTACTAAAGGTGCGATGACTCCGTCCTTACGCACCAACTCTCCAGTGACGCGATGAGTGCCGGTGCTACCGTCTCGTTATCGCACCAATCTTCACCTTCTTTTAATTGTGGACAGGAATGTGTAATTTATGATAAACCACACACCGTTAAATTCCTTTGACCACGCGGGCGAAGCCACGAGCAAAACTTAGTGACTTCATAAACAAAAATCTTTAGGCGGGAATTGCCTCCGTTTATTAATGACGTTCCAAAACTGAAAAGTTTCAAAAATATTGGCAAAAGAACTCTTTTCACTCACGCTGTTAAACTGAATTGAGGACACTGAAAACTGGATGCCCAGTGCGCTGTAAACCTCTTATTTACCGACCAAGAGAACTCAAATCAAAGAGTACCGAGGGACGCTTTCCAAACTGGCACAGCTATCCAATTTACTAAATGCATCGCGAATTGAAGGCCGAAAATAAATAAAAAATTCCAGCATTTTCAGACCGATTTATTCTGCCCGCTGTACTTACGCTTCTGTTATCGAGCCATCCATTGATTACTTATTCAATAATGTGATTAAATTCCTTATTGTAGAGTTTTATCATGTTCATGGAATTTTTGTTATGTTGAAAAAAATTTTTCAGCAAAATTTCTTTTGTTCTAAGATTGAACTATATTTCTGTAAAACTTAAATCACTTTGATTTCGCACAGAACAAATATGACGATTAAAGGGATCGTAGGGGCTCACAAAAATGTAACAAGGTTTCCAAGTAGGTTCCCACCTAGGCTTTCATCCATATAACCATTTAAAATGTCATACATTTGTTGTACGAGCATACGTGATATTGGTAAATAAAGGTTAAATTAAAATAAACAAAATAGAACAAAAGGCCCAAAAGAGAGAAAATAAAACATTGAAATAATAACGTTCATATTTACTCTATTACTTCCTCTGTAGCGTGATTAGGAATATGCAGAATATGGAAGTACTTATTTACTTATTTCAACAGCATTATTGAAGCTTCACTACATAGTAAAAAACAAAGTCGTCCCACTGTCTGTCTGTCCCTATAAATGCTTAGATCTTTAAAAGTACTCAAGTATTTTGATGTGGTTTCTTTATTAGATAGTGATTCAAGGGAAAGGTTTATATGTATAATTCAAGCATGATATAGTAGAGAAAGACTGATAATTTTAGAGGTTTCTAATGCGATATCGAAAACAAACATTCAGCATTGCACCCGTGTGAAGCCGGGGCGGGTCGCTAGTTAAGTATAAAAGGGTGGCAAATAGGATTTTTTTTAAATGTATCGTCGCGTAAATAAATTTTCTGTTAAGAGGATCATTTATCTTAACTAAATCATTAAATCTTAACATCAAAAATTATAAGAGCACATGTCGCATGTGCTGTTGTAATTTTTTAAGTTAATATTACTTAAATACAATTTCAGTATTTGCTAGGCATGTCACATACTTATGTAAATCTAGCGTTTGTTATGTTGTAACGTTTCCTTTTAATTTAGTACGAAGGAAAGTGGTAATAGTCCATATTTAACGGTTAACAAACGCAATTCATCCGGGCTGCGGTAATAACTCAGGTGTTTTTCGTAATTGCCGCGAAGGGTAACTTTGGGCCATTAAAGTTTGCGTAAGCCGTAACTTTTTTAACGATTCTAGTTTATACTGAGACGAAGTTTATAAAGAGATTAAGTTATGATGCTCAACGGGCTACTTTCCTACACTACGTTTGGTCCAAGCTCAGGCTGCAAGGTTTAGTGATACTATTATAATATGATTTGTTTGTAAAATATAAAATCATCATCTTTATCCTCCTGTCCTTATCCCACTTATGTAGGGTCCCCACAATATACGAATCATGTTGTAAGCGGTCTTGGCTATTATTTTGACAACTTGCCGCCTGCCTTACGTCAACACTTCTTGGGAATAATGTTTAAATTATTAATACATCTTCTTATCTTTATCATTCCATTAAAGAATGATGTTCTTCTCCGTTGAGGTCGTTTTTTTTCTCGGGGCTAGACTGCTTTCCTTGATTTATATTAAAGTTCTTTAATTTTTTTAATGTCAAAGATATCAAAAATTTTTATTTATATTTGACAATGTATGTTAAACAATTAAAATCTTTAGATGTTTTTGCAACAAATGAACTAAAACTTTGTGATACGGATAATACATTTTTTTTTAGTTT